GGGCTGAGAGATCAGAAAACATATGTACCTATCTACTCGTTGCTCTCTGACTGCTACTGGAAGCAGACGTGTTTTGAAGCGTTCCGCCTTGCCGTCGGTTTTTCAGTGCGAAAGAGACACAAAAGGGAAAAAATTAATCAACGGCTTATCTGCTTTAATGATCGTTTAATTGTAAACGGTGCACAAAGAGTTTTCGGTGCAAAGAGAGTCTTCGGTGCACAAAGAGTCGACAAGCTTGGAACCAAAAACTGGACCCCCAGCCAATCACAGAGGCGATTCAGTCGACAAGCTTATAGCCAAAAACTTTCACCAATATGGTTATCGGACCATGGACATGGACACCGAGGCAGATGCCAGCGACGCTAGCCTAGCTAGTGTTGGCGCGAGCTCGACGTCGAGCGTTCCCGCCCGCAGGAAACGCAGGCCGAAGTCTTCGGCAGACAAAAAGGGAGCCAAAAATATCGGCATTGGAGTCGGGATGACGGGAGAGCCACCGCTCCCAGCGGTAAGATCGCCGCCGTCATCGCCTTTTGAGCCCTATAGCAACAACGCCAGAACATCGTAGAATAGAAGGGCAATGCGGGCAATGGGTTATGAAGGGTATGAAGAGCCCTGGGTAGGGTGCTGTGTGCAGTGCAAGCATATTGTGTGTGTGTGTGTGTGTTTCCTCGTCTGCTTCTCCCACATGTTGCATTCGAAGGAGAGCGATATGCAAAATACTAGATTTGGTAGTATTTTTTTGGAGGTTGATAGGTCGATAGGCGAAGGGGCAAGGCGATCAACGGTGCCGGTGAGAGAGCGGGAGAATGTCAGAGAGGGGAATATTGCGGGATCCACGAGCCAGCTCACCCTCAAGAATGCCATGTGATGCCCTTGAATTTGGTTCAAGGGCAGTAGAAGAGATGAGATCAACTGCAGCAAGGGGGACTGCGTAGAGTAGCTACGCTGAACATGCCGGCAGTGGGAAAATACACATCGGCAGTGTTAGGGCGTTTTGTGTGTGTGACCGTTAAGGAAAAAAAAAACAGACCGGCCAACGTAGAGGACCCTTTTACCCGAATCGAAATAAAAAGTGAGTCCAGTCCAAAGGGAAAATGAATCCCAGATTCAATATTTTTAAAACCCATAGGGCGTAAATTGTATCGGCTGGCTTCCCGTAGATGGGCCAAAATTACCATTCCCCGGCCCGCGGAATCCTGGTCACACCCCTGCTCGGGCGCGACCCGCCACAGCGCCACCGACAATTAATATAATTAATCTACGCCTACATAAACGCATACCTATTTACATGCGTATATAAAGACACACAAAAATAATATCTGTCTATATTAATTAATATTCAATTAATTAGCCACCCCACATATATTTACCGACCATATTAATGTAATATAAATGTAGTATTTGTATATATATTTATTTTATTATTTATATTTATTATTTTTTTGTGATTATTCCCACCCATTAATTTAAGTTGAAGAGTCGGGAATAGGCGGACGCGCCACGAGACATTAGTATAGGGATTTTTAGTTAAGTATGTGTTAAGTTTTTGGTTTAAATATTATAACGTTTAAAATGAAGTGCTAGTGTGTTTAGTATGGGGGGGAAAGGGGACCACAAGCCGCTCTACCTCTTTCAGGCGGTGTGAACCCTTCCTCTAGACTCCATAAGGCTCAGCGAAGAGTCCATCTCATGCATCCTCGATCTGGTAGCCGTGGAGTCTGAACAGGTGCAGACACAACCTCTCTACAAACAGGCAATCTACATCTCATTTCAGGCTACGTAACAAAACTTAATAGCAAACAAAAACTATAAACAACGAGATGTCCGAACAGTTGGTTTGTTGTGCGACCTGGGGGCCTGGGAAGAACTCAGCCCTGGGATGACTGGCTAGCCGGCCTTGCCCCAACACCAAAACAGGTTCGTAACA